CCCGCCTAGTATCACCATCACCACCAAAATCATGTACGTACGTACGTACGTACGTAACTGCCTCTTGAATTTCAATCTGAGTATTAATACACAGAGTCACGAGATTGAGAATACAATATTTTCGAAGAAATAATCGAAGTTTTGTTTAAAATTGTTCATTTAAAAAATTATTTGTCGTTACTACAGAATGAGATTTTCGACAAAGTAATTGAAAGTTTTATTTATTCAAATTGTTCATTCAAAAGTTTACTTAATTTATCGTTACAAATCCAAAGTTGAAATATATTCAAATTAGAATATTTAATTTAAAATATATTTAATATATTTGTATCAAATTCAAAATTTTTTAATATACATATAAAGCATAAAGTCTGAATTTGCGTTATTAGCAAAAGGTGTTTGTTTTTATTACATCCACTCCAAGTTTTTTTGCTCGTTCGAAATCTTCAATTTCACCTACCATTTTTTTGAATAGGTGTAAAGTTCGATTCAATACTTTGAAGCCATTTCTTTTGTTTTGGAAGATTATTAGAATGTCTAAAAATTTAGTATTAATAATAAAATATATTTATTTAAATACGATAAGACTTTAATATTTCGGATTCATTCTGAATTTACTAGATCAATCACTAGGTCAACTTGTGTATGATTAGTTATAAATATTTTCCACAAATTTTTTTAGACTTCAAAATAAAAGGATATTGTGAATTTCGTTATACCTAAATCAAAGCAAATATTTAGAATTTTTGAAGCATTGTAAACAATAAACCAGATAGAATACAATAAAAACCTTCTGACAAGATGCTGGCAAGCAAAAATCTATTTTTAAAAAATAAGACATATCCCTCATCATCATCCTCTTTAATTTTGATTGGTTTGTTATGATACTTTTTATGGTAAACATATGAATGCGTCTCCTTTTTCACAGATCTTTATTAATGAACTTGCAAAACTTCATCGGTGTCATTTTCTTAATTCGGTAATTATTTGAAAACATCCACAGCTATATCAAGATCTATATGTATATTGCTTTCTCCATAAGTTCTTCATACACCGTATGTTCAAGCACTTCAGATTTATAGCATTTTCTCTTTTCTTTCAGATGTCATTTAAAATTTGGTCTTCACGTCTTTTTCTGCTTTCATTTATATAGTTTAAACAATCAAACCATGTTTTTTGATTATTTTGAAATGCAATAATAAGCTTTACAATTCGACAGGCTGAACAAAGTTGCGCAAACTGCGTACTTTCATTTTAGAAAATATTACGATAAATTCAAAAAAATGATAATCAAATATCATTATATATTATTATCATTATCGTTATCATATTTCATATTATATATTAAAATATCGGTAAATAAATTTAAGCATTACGTACGTACGTACATACCTGATTGTGGTGGCGATGCTAGTTGGGTCTTTGAACACTTAATTCGGATATACGTGGTAGCGATCAAAATCGACAGTGAATTTTCTGTCCGATTTGATTTATCCGAATTAGGTGTAAAAAAACAAAAAATATAATGTCACCTAATCTATGAGAATGCCCATGTGCCTCCAGCTTTTTGATTTTTGGAATAAATGTAATTTGAAAAGATATAAGATCCATAAATTTAATATTAATTGCAGTTATAATAGTATATTATTTAAAATTTTTATTGTGTATAGCTATGGATCTGTCATTATTAAAGAATTGTAGCATCAGAAATACTGTAATGTTTTCCCAATTTGAAAAAGAGTGACAAATCTGTGATATAATACAATATATATACATCTCTAAAAAAAACGGCCAAAGACGATTTAATAAAAAAGTTGAAAAAAAAGGAAAAGGAGCTAAAGATAGATTATAAAAAAGAAAGGAAAAAAAAAAGAACTGGTATTGCACCTCCACCTTCAAGATGTAGCAGGTGATTTTGAAGATGAGATTATTTCTTGAGTAATTTTATTTTCAACTTTCGTAGGAGTATCTGAGCTTTCTTTGAGATGAGATAACGGAGAAACATTTTCAGCATTTGGCAAATCAGACGTTACATTTTCAGACAGAGAGTGGGAAGGTATTGAAGAATTATTAAAAGAAACAACGTTCCATTTTTCTCTTTTTTTACGACGTATAACTTTTGGGCATAGTTCATTACGAAGCCTACCCGCTTCTTTTGCTATTCTCTTATATTCTTTACGAACATTTTCAGGTTCAGATTCCCAGGACCGAGAACAGACTGAGAAAACAAATGATTCAGAAAATTATTTCATGTATTTCACGTGATGCAAGAAACTTACTTTGCGATATGACAGTCATTGGCAAGGAATAACCATTTGCTCGGGAAGCTTCAACAAATGCCTTGCGATATATTATAAAAGCATTTGGAGCTCGAGATAATGTATCATCTTTCTTGGTAATTAAATCTCGAGGATCAATAGTCGGTGGAAATGGTATTTTAATAAACGGATAAGAATTAATGATCACTTGATTTTGCTTGCCGGGGATGTTTGAATCTATAAATACACGACCACGTGATATGGTATTTTCAGCGTCTCTGTTCATATCGAATCTTTTCTACCATGATATTAGAGCATACGATGAGAATTTATATACACATTTTATGGCTTGAGAAAATAGTCTGATTCAAGTATACGAATGGAAAACGTGGTGGTCAAAAAAATAGGT